CTTCCGGTTCCTCCACACTGCTGGCTGCGGTGGTGGGCGGCGCTACAGGAATCTCTTCATGAGGTTCAGAAAAGAGAGGAGGAAAGGCAAGGTTAAAAAAAAAAAAAGACATTAGTTTTGTTCTTGGAAAGAAAAGGGTTTCAGCACAGACCCCTCCCAACCTTCTAGCCTCCTTCCCCCATGCCCACTCTATAGCTCAACTGAAAGGAACAAAAAGTCAGGGAGAGAAAGGGAGCTGGCAGCAGGGTCCCAGGGGTCCTAGCCACATGAGTGTCTTCCCCTGTCTTCACTGGGAAGGGAAATCATGAATCCCATCTGCTAAGGAGGGGCTGGCAGTCCACGGGGCTGATGCTGTACCCAGGACCTGACATACATGCCCAGCTCACTCCTACTCCTCTCCTTCCTGTTCATCATGATATGACTACCTGGGCCTTGCCCATCTACAATGTTAACTCACAGGTGGGAGGAAGGAACTAGAAGCAGTGATGGTGTGTGGGGGGCAGGGAACCTGCCCTTGGGGGCACCTCTCACAGACGCATCTGCAGCCTGGCTCTCGTTCTCCTAGGCTCCCCTCACATTGGCTAAGGCCTTCTATTAGCTGGTAGATAGGGATGTTGACTGCAGGAGGCAGGGCTCATAAAGGTGTGGCCTTTGTGTTGAGTGTCCCCTTCTACCTGGAGTAACAGCTTCGCCCTCTACTTCCTGGATCCATCCCTGTGCTCCCACAGGTGAAGAAGTTCAGCCAGTCAACTTCATTGATTCAACCACTAGCTGTCAAAAGTCTGACCTTCCTCTTTCTAGGCAAGACCAAACCATGGAGCGAAAAGTCCCTCTAGGACAGTGGTTCTTAACCTGTGGGTCTCAACCCCTTTGAGGAATGAACAACCCTTTCACCGGGTTTGCATATCAGATACCCTGCATATCGGATATCTACATTATGATTCGTAACAGTAGCAAAATTACAGTTCTGAAGTAGCAATGAAATAATTTTACGCTTGAGGTCACCACAACACGAGGAACTGCATTAAAGGGCCACAGCATTAGGAAGGTTGAGAACCACTGGGCTAGAAGGAGCACACAACTTCGGGTCAGCAACCTCTGATCTGTCTGTCTGTAGCCACCATCTAACTCCGCGGTAAGACTTTCCTCTGACCTCACATTCTAGACACCTCAAACCCGAGGCTTCACCTAAGACCTGTCTGTGTCTCCTAGAGGAACCATGCTTTGTGCCTTTCGGAGGTAAAGACGGCAGACACGGCCCACAGCCCACGGGCAGATTTACTCTCAGTGACTTTATTCACACATCTCTTTGGTGTCTGGTCACAGCAGCTCATTAGGAAGCTGGACGGAAGCCAGGCCCTTTCTTAGTCCTGCAAAGCTAGGTTGGTCCCAGCAAAAACTCTTTGGAAACAATGTCCAAATGGCCCAGTCTAATGCTGCAGGTCTACAAAGGGGGGGGGGGTTCACACCAATGGCCACGGGGCATATTGGCCACCCAAACTCAGTGTCTAAAACAGGGATGTACACACAAGGCCTGTGGTTCCCTGGGCTTGAGCCCTCCCCCTTCAAAAGCAAGTCAGAAAGTATACAGCATGTGGGAAGGGCACTTGAAATATTAGTTATTGTCATTCTGTGTAACCTGACAACTCCTCTCCCTCTTAAAAAAAAAAGTGACTATGCAGTGGCAAAATACGTTTCCAGAGGCCCAGATATACTTGGCTTTCTAAAATTGTTCCTCTCATAGCTTTGGGATGTGCAGTTTCTATGGACCATGAGAGTGGTGCTTAGATGCCATCATGGGAAGGATTTCTTTCCATCCCTTCCTTTGAATGCTAGGGGTGAACCCAAGGCCTGGGGCATACAAGGCATGTTCCCTTCCACTGAGTGACAGCCAGCCTAAGCACCCTTTCCATCTCCTGTACCCTGGAAGGACACCTCAATCTAGTCCCTTGGGCTAGTACTAGGTCATCTGCTGTTAGTGGACCTGCAGGGACACCCTGGCAGAAACTCTTGATTCATGGACTGGTCAAAATTGTCATTGGAACCAACAGAACTGACTTGTTCTGGAAGCAAAGGCCACGTGTAGTGGGGCAGGTTAGAACATGTAAGTGACATGTGGACTGTGGAAGGCTCCCACCTGCTTGCGGTGGGATGTTGACAATAACTTCTGTGAGGAACAACTCTAGGACTTGGTGGGTGGCTCCTGGCATAAAGAGACTCCAGGCACCGGCTCCAAGACTCTCGGGCTATTCTGAATCCCCATCGCTAACCAGACCTGGGAGCCCACTGGGGTCTCTGAGAACCTCAGCAGTCAGACTGACTGACATCTGAAAGGGGCCAAGCAGTAGTATTTCAGGCTCTGTAGGATATATCTGCTGCAGCTATGCTGTTTCATGTCTTTTTCATTTCCTTTTTCTCTTTTTAAAAACACGGTCTCACTATGTAGCCCAGCCTAGCCTCAAACCTGCACTCTTCTCGCCTCTGTCCCCCAAGTACTGGGATTACAAGCTCACACCACCATGCCCGGTGACTTTGCATGGTTTTTATTGTGTCTTGAAAGAGTATCCCTACTTTGATTTTTGTTTAAATCATTAAAAAGGTTCGAGGCACTGTGCCATTCAAAAGCAGGCAGCAGCCAGCTCCCTGGGCGGAGCTCGCCAAGCCCACTCTCTAGAGTCCACTTCCTTTCCTGGGCTCTGGCCTGTTTGCTGAGACTCTCCTGCTCCTCTGCGCCAGGCATCCCTTCTTGGCATGGTCAGCCCTAGCCCAGGAATAACCAGGAGGAGGCTGGGCCTCTCCAGGTTAAGCTTCAGTTGCCAGCCAGAGCCCATTCTGCCCATGGTCACAGCAGCATGACCTACAAGTTGTGCAATGCAGAGACCCTTGAGAGCCGAGGCCAGGATGACCCACCCTGTCCACGGAATGCCTCTCTGAGACCCCCGACTCCAGCTCTCTATTAATCCTTCACAGGGACCACAGGGCCACAAACAAGAGCCTGAGTAACTTTTCTCAAAGGCCCAAGGCTTTTGGTCTGCTCTCTCTGAATCTGCACCGGGGGCAGGCCTCTATCCCCCACAGGCTCTGAGGTCCAAGTACAATGGAAGAATGGGACTCATGTTGGTCTCGCTGCCCCCTAGAGCAGGTGACTCAGTGTTTGTCAGTACTGAGGGCTATGGACAGGCTGGCTCTAAGGCACACAGCCACTTCTGAAGGAATTCCCAGGCCTAGAGTCTCTCACAGGATCTCACTGAGCACAGGTGAATAAAGACATGCCCATTGGTGATAGCTAAACCCACAGATATCAGCAACCAGCCCCCACAGGGTCCCCCCACCCAAGCAGAGGGGAGGAGGAAATACACATACTGATGCAGGGGGCTATGGGGGAGCGGCTCTGCTGGTAGCCTTTGGCACAGCGGTTGCAGGTGATGCCTGTCACGCCGTCCTTGCAGGGACACTGGCCAGTGGTTTGATTGCAGGTCTTGCCAGCAGCACCCACAGGGTGGCAATCACAGGCTGTGAAGAACACAAAAGAGAAGGGTCAGGGGAAACAAAATCCAAATGGGCCTACTTCAAAGATTTACTTGAGGAACAGGAGAAGGGAACCAGGAGCACCTTCAAAGTCCAGGAGGAGGGCTGATACTCAAATATGATGTCAAGGGATGGAGGTGAGGGACACTGGAGTGTAGAAGTACTTGCTTCTCCCCCAGGTTTCTCTGGGGATTCCCTGGGTGGAGTAGGGTCTCGAGCGGATGAAGTTCAGGGATGCTGGTCAGAGGGAGGCACAAGAAGGAGGCACCTAAGATGCTACCCCCACTTGCTCAGCGGCCAGATGCCCAGAACCCAGACTTCTGGGTCACAGTAACACTTTACCATAAAACCCCAACTAAATGGGTAACTAGTGAACTGGTGAACCACCTAGGGGCCTCCCAGGAATGGAACAGTCAAGCTGAAAGTGAAACAAGGCCAATGATTTTCAGGTCAGAGGCCATTGTGTGAACTTTGTAAACCCCCCCCCCCCCAATTCCAACTGCATTCAGAAACTTCCTCACTGTGTTCCTGCAGTGATGCAGCCAGAACTTTGGGGGAGATCTCTGCCACCGTCATGAGGCTCTAAGCAACATTCACCCCCACCCCCAAAGGCAGAGGCTGCCAAGGCTTCTTTCTTTGTTCTGCCCACCTGTGCCTGAGCAGTGTCCTCACTGGTAAAGGGATGGAGTAAAAAGGAGGCCATGCTGTGCCTGTTCCCGCTGCAGGAAGCCCAGGAGGGCAGTGTGCACCAGTAACGTATCTGCAGCCATTTCAATTCATGCCACATGCTGCTGTGTTTCTGTCCCCAAAGGGGACAAAAATATCCAGGAAAATAAATGAGAACTGAGATTCCAAAAGAGCTAAAGTAAAATTCTCTCCTCAGTGGGCCCTGAAAAGGCAGCCTCTCCCGTAGGCCTCCAGCTTGGGAGTGCAGTGAGGAGCATCTGGGAGATTAGAGCCAGCCTGTCCACAGCAATCACAAAGGAGAACAATGTGAGCATACCTTGTGCTAGTGATGTCAGGACACACAAGAACTTCTGGAAGCACTAGGGTGAGAAAGCCCTGGGCCCCACAGGATAGAGGATAGAAGGTCTGCAGGGCCGGCTGCTTGCTGGCTCCTATGACACAGCATCTCTGAGAAGCACTGGGATCATTCCCACCTTGCCCCTTTCTTAGATTTGACTCTGAAATTCCCCTCATAGCTCTCCCACATTTTAATTATTTGTTATGTGGCTTGTGGTGCGATTTTGAAGGCTGTGGATGGTGAAAGTAGGTCACTAGGGGTGGGCCTTTGATGGCTATATCTGCTCCTGATTCCAGTTCTCTCCTCTTCCTGGCTCATTCCACATATAGAAGCTGCCTTGAGTTCAAGCATACCATGCACAGAGTGGTCACCTTTGCCTCTGAGATTGTGAGCCAAACTTAACCTGTCTCCCCTGGAGCTGCTTTCTGTCACTACCAGAATGAAAGTAACCACTGTAGTTAGGACAGTGTCTCTGGTGAGACGTTGTCTTCATCAGTGTACCCTAAATTCAAGTCTGTGGGAAGGAATAACAGTGAAGAGATGGTTCAACCTTTCCCTGCAGTAGGAACGGTGAGTGATACGGTGCACGATTGGCCATGTGAAAGTAGAGGGCCACAGTACAGGATCTCACAGTCATGAGACACAGATGTGGGCTTGGGCATAGACATATGGGGACACCAGGTTCTTGTGCCAGCTGACCTCTCTTGGCCTGCTCTGGAAGCCCATTGGCAATCCTTCAATTCATACTTTGGGTGCCAATGGAATTCCACTGTGTGTCAGTAACTCCTGGATCCTTAGAAGGTCACAAAAGGTTACTTGGATCACTGAAGATTCCAAGCCACGTCACACCTAGGCACCAGCACTGGGCCAGAGTGTCTTTAGTTTGGCAGGAGCTGACCCAAGACAAGCTCTGGGTGGAGGAACACTGAAGACTATGCATTAAGTCCTGCAAAGCTGGTGACCTCAGCTGCCTTGGCTGGCCCACTGCTGGGAAGGGCGGGGACCAGAATTCTGCTGCAGCGAAGGAGGACCGTTGTTAGCAAGTATTTTGTATGGTCAGCTCATCCTAAAGGTTCACCCTTAGATGAGATGTAAGCTAATGCATGCTGCTGGGTTTCCAAATCTTTCTCCCAAGATTCTATAGGAAGCAAAACCATGCATCTGGTCTAACTGGGGCAGCAGTATGTAGTACACTTCCACACCAAGTCATTATCTATGCACGAAAGACACTAAAGGGTCACATCCAGGCCACTGTGACCATCACCAGGCTGCATCACGCCACCAACAGAGCATCTGACAGCAGAAGTATACCCACCAAGACTCCTACAGAGACATCAGCAACCTACATTCCCTTACATGACATCTCGGTCCCCACAACAACCCTGTGAAAACAGTATTACAAGGGAAGAGGCTGGTGAGGAGTCGCAATAGAAATGAGACATGGAAAGGACTTGCAAACCTGAGGAGAGGGAATACCCCCCACTCTCTCAGGACACCCTTTGTTTCTTCCATGGAGAAATAAGCTCTGGCCTGTTTCAACCACTGTGAGGCAGGTTTGCTGTTACTTGCAGCCAAATGCCCCTGGATGGAGCCTCACCCAGCACTCATTCCCAATTCCCAGGCAAATGGCCCCAGAGTAAGGCCTTTCCCCATAGACATGGGAAGTGGGATGGCCTAAATTATACCCTCTGAGCAAAGAAGGGTGGGTTTTAGGTGTGATAAGAAAAGCCAACAAAGGGCTGTGTTCCGTGGTAAGGTCCTCTATAGTGGTGGGATGGCTGTTCTTGGTTGTCAACTTGACTACATCAGGGATTAAAATCCAGGTGGCTGGGCATATCTGTGAGGGATTCTTTTTTTTCTTAATTAAATCATTTAAAGTGGGAAGACCCACTTCTAATCCAGTTGTTTGAGGTGGGAAGATCTGCCTTTAATCTGGGCCACACCTTCTGCTGGCAGCTTATGTAAAGGACACAGAAGAAGAAAGGTAGCTCTCTCATTGCCTGCTTGCCCCCACTCTCACTGGTCAGTCCATTCCTTCACTGGCATTAGAAACTACTTCTTCAGGATCTGCAGTATGCTGGAGATCAGCTGAGACATCCAGCCTTGTGGAATGAACAAATACTGGATTCTTGGACCTTCCCTTGGCAGACCGTACAGCTATTGTTAGACTAGCTGGACCACAGCCTGATAGCCAATCTAACAAATCCTGTATGTATGTATGTATGTATGTATGTATGTATGTATGTATGTATGTATGTATGTATGTATGTATGTATGTATGTATGTATGTATGTATGAAGTTCTGTTCCTCTAGAGAACCCTGGATAATATAAGTGGGAAAAGCAGAATTCCAACAGACTTTATCAAAGAAAGTGAGAGCCAGGGAAGCCTCAGGACCCAGCCTTAGGAAGAGAAAGTCAGAGGCTCCTGCTGCAGTCCCTTAGCCTGTAAACACACAGAAAGACACATGGGTACATACATACATACAGAGATTCACATATACAGCCACACAGTGACCAGCTCACAGCAGGATGGTTACATGGGGAATGAGGCAAGGGGAGGGGGGTTTTACTTTATAGGGGCTCCAATGAGGGGCCTTTACTCTGTAAGGGCTCCAATGAGGTGATGGCCAGAGAGCTTCCCTAATTCTTCTGAGAACAGGGCCCAGGCTAGAACACCCTCTGTCACAGGAAGCCCTCCTGGTGACTTCCATTTCCCTGGAAGCCAGCCATGGTTTTTGGAGGGAAGTCAACCCCTTTCATACAGGTCGCCAGTCTGCATGGGGCAGGCAGCACCTGCTCATGGGAAATAGGCTACCAGAGGTTATTCCATGAAGAGAGAATGTGAGGCCAGAAGGAAGTGCGGGTCCCTGAGAACATGGCAGGATCAGGTTTCCCACGAATGTGGCTGGCTTCAGGGAACCCTGCCTGTGTTTGCACTGGGTCACCAGACAGGGACAGACTGCTCAAGAGACCCAAGTGGTTTCAGACAGATGACAGAGGATCCAGGCCTGACCTGGCCCTGTCACTGAAGTAGTGTACCCCCTTCTCCCTGGATTGCAGGTGACTTCTCAGTAAGGACAAAGATCTACACTCCACTAAAGGTTTTTGTCTCATGGATCCAGAGTGTAGACTCTAACCCTATGGCTGCTGTTTATCACTGTGACCTGGGCCAGGGCGGGGGAGGGGCTTGTGTTGCAGGGTGCCATGCTCAGGCAGTCACTAGTACTGTGCCTGAACCTTGTCAATGGAAGGGACTTCTAGAACTCTGGTATAGTGGGTGGTGCTGACCACAGGCTTCCCACACCCAAGCTTGACCCTTCCCTTCTACTGGGTGAGCATACGCAGAGGTCAGGCCCTTCCAGCAGCTCACAGGGCCAGCTGGAAACCTCCTGGGTCTCCTATGGGAAATCTGGCTACTTCTCCTGAGCGCCCTGGCTCCAGGGACTGAGATCAAATGGAACCCGCAAGAGGCAGCAATCTAGAACTCGGGCTTGTAGGAAAGGTGAAGCTCAGCATTAGTCCCTTTGAAAGTGGGAGACAGAACAGACACAGACTCGGTCCTCAATCCAGATACCATCTGGCTACCCCCTAGGCCTCCAGAAGCCATGGAGACTCATTGCATTGGCCTCCTGTTAAGGACTGGCTCACATGCCAAACCTTCAGCATGCACACCCTGAAGTCCTACTCCCAAGTGCATGAGATGAATATGAATTCTTTAGAGGTACTTGGGTAAAAATAGGTCATTGGAGTAGGTACTAATCAGTGACTGGTGTCCTTGCCCAAGACGGGGCTGAGGTACAAGGCGGCTACAGAAGAAGGGCCATGTGAACACACAGGATAATGGTGACCATCTGTACTCCCGGGAGAAAGGCCTGCAGCAGATCCCTCCCTTCTGGCCCGCAAAAGCAATCTGCCCAGCTGGTACCTTGACCTTGAATGTCCAGTCTCCAGAGTTGGGA